ATTAATTTCTGCTCTCATGTTTATGATTTCTCCCTGTCTTTTGTCTTTGGGTTTGGTTTGCTTTTCCTTTTCTAGATGTTGGAGGTGTAGCATTATGGTGTTTGTTTTTTTCCTGTTCTTCTTTCCTAATGTATGAGTTTCCAGCTCTGAATTTCCCTCTGAGAACTGCTTTCATTGCATCCCATAAATTCTGATAAGTTGTGGTTGAATTTTCATTGCATTGTAGTTATTGTCGAATTTCCTGTTTAATTTCATCTGTGACCATTGATTGCTGAGTAGGGTGTTGTTTAATTTACATGTATTTAGGTTTTTTTTCTGGCTTCTTTTGTCATGTATTTCCAGTTTCATTGCACTGTGGTCAAATAATATGCATGGGATAATTTCTGTTTTCTTACATATACTTAAGCATGACCTATGGACCAGTATGTGGTCTATTTTAGAAAATGACCCATGGGCAGCTGAAAAAGATGTGTATTCAGGTGTGGCTGGATGGAGTACTCTTTATATGTCCATGAAGTCCATTTGTTCCAAGCTGTTGTTCAGTTTCGCTGTTTCTTTTCTAATTTTTTTGTCTGTTATGCCTGTCTTTTTTGGTATTGGCTTCCTAAGGTGTCCTATTAAGACTGTGATGTTAGATATTACATTTTTTATGTCCATTAAGATTTGTCTATATAGTTAGGTGCTACCGTGTTTGGAGCATATATATTTATGAGTGTTACCTCTTCCTCTTGAATTTTTCCCCAAAGCAGTATATAGTGGCATTCTTTATTTCATGTGATCATTCTTGGCTTGAAGTTGAGATTGCCTGAGAACAAGATTGTTACTCATTCCTTTTTGTGGTGTGCTCGGGTGTGTAGTATTGTTTTCCCTCCTTTGACTTTCAGCCTAAGAATGTCTTTATGAGTTAAATGTGTTTCTTGTATACAGCATATTGTTGGATTTTGTTTCTTAATCCACTATGCCAGTCTTTTTTCTTTTTTCAGTACCAAGGATTGAACTCAGGACTTTGCGCTTGCCAGGCAAATTTTGTTCTACTGTGCTATCTCCCCAGTCCCTCTATTTCTTTTAATTTGTTAATTGAGTCCGTTTACATTGAAGGCTATAATTGAGATGCATTGACCTACAATTGACTTGTTATTTGCCTGCTGTTGTTTACTCCTTCTTCTCCTTTATGTAATTGTTTGCCCTATTTAGTGGGTTCCTACTGTTCTTGTTCATGGAGTTCTGATCGTTTTGGTCCCTCTCTAGAACAACTTTCAGTAGCCTGTGTAGGGTTCACTATGTCATCTTGAAATTCTTTAGTTGCTCTTTGTCATGGAAGTGTTTCATTTCTCCATCAAACTTGAAAGAGAGTTTTTCAGTGTATAGTAGTCTGGGCTGGAATTTGCTTTCATAGAGTAAATGAAGTACTCTGCTCTATGCTCTTCTTACCTTAATGGTTTCTTCTATAATTCTGATGGATTTTCCTTTGAATGTGATCTGTTTGTTTTCTATAGCCTCTTTCGATATATTGTTATGCTGGAGTTCTGGAATCTTGACTATGATATGTGTGGGTGTGTTTTTAATTGGATTAAAGTTATTTGACAGTATGTATGCTTTGATTACTTGAATGTCAGATTGTTTCCTCATACTTGGGAAGTTTTCTGCTATTCCTTCTGCAAATATTCTTTTTATATCATTTGCATTGAGTCCTTCTTTCTCATTGATGCACATTAGTCTCACATTGTCCGTCTTTGCTTCATCTTGAAAGTGATGAATTATTTTTTCCTGCATCCTAGTTGTTTTCAAGGGATCTTTTCTTACCATTTCACTAGCTGCACCAGCATGTTCAAGATCTGAAGCTCTATCTTCACTTTCACTCAAATGGTTTTGCAAGCTTGTGATTGAGATTTTGAGTTTCTGTATATCTCTTTGACCCTGCTTCATGTGATCTATTTCTTTCTTGTAGTGCTCATTCAAAGAATCCATCATTTTTCTAATCTCTTCTATTTTTTTATCAATGTCTTCTTCAGAAGCAGTTATTAATTCTTTTCCTGCAGAGATTTTTTCAGATTGAGTTTCTTCCATATATTTCTGCATTTGATTCTTTACTTCAGATGCTATGAATTCAGAGATTTCTTTTTTCTAATTTCAGAAGTTATTTCTGATCTGAGTTCCTCTATACCTTTCTGCAGTTGTTTCTTTCAGTCACTTTTGATGCAGAGATTTCAGCTATGATTCCCAATTTTTTCTGTGGCAGTCTCCTCTGCACTTGTTCTAGGTCAGCTTGTGGTCTGTGATTGCATTTTGCTCCTTTTTTTGGTCATTTTGTATAGCACTGTCCTCTGACCTTTGGTGTAGAGCTTTGTTGCTGTTATAACCTTAGCACCTAGTGATATTTGGGGGAAGATCTATAAGGTTTGAATGTATCCAGTTGTGTGTGGCTTGGGTCTGGCTGCTGTGCTCAGCTTCTTCATGTTGTAATCATTGGGAGTAAACCTATTGTGCCCCTCTGGCAAGATGTTCTGCTTCTGGACTAGCTGGGTGGTTTTGTCACCTACTTTTTCTTCAGGGACTGCTGCTGCAGAATTTCACCCCAGGACTGTATGCCGAACTGGGTTGTAGCTGAGGGGGAAAATGGGCACAGGGGAGATGAGAAGGTCTCCCACAAACTTGCAGTGCCCAGACTTGGGCTGGATCTGGGGGTTCCTGAGAGCATGTCAGAATTCGCACTCATTCAGTGGGTTTGGGGTGGGGGTAGGATCTAAACCCTCTAAATTTAAAGACTCAATCCAAAATGGACCCTTGAGTGAGTACCCACACTATGAGAGGACACATTAATGGCATAAAAAAGAAACATGAAAACATTCAACACAGGTGGTTTTTCTAGAGATGGAAATGAAAATAATATTGAGATTAATCTCATTACAAAGAATGGGGGCCAAGGAAACGGCTCAGTGGCATAAGTGCTTCCCTTGCAAATGCAAGGGCCTGAGGAGTTCAATACCCAGTTCTGAAAAAAAAAAAAAAGAAAAGCTATAGAAAAAAAAGCCAGTTACATGGCTCAGTTGCTGGAGAGATGGCTCAGTAGAATAAGTGCTTCTCTGGCAAGTGCAAGGGTCTGAATTCCATCCCTGGTTATGCCAGAAAAAAAAACAACAACAAAAAGGAAAGGCTATCATCAAGAAATAAAGTAATGACACAAGCTGGAGGGCCTATAGATGGAAAGGAGTCCTTGTACACCGCAGGTGGGAGAATAGAGGCTTGCAATCATTGTGGAAATCAGTGTGGAGATACCTCAAAAACTAGGATTAGTGGACTGAATCCACCTAGTTATTCCCCTTCTGGGTTTCTTCCCAGAAAGATTAAAAACATCATACCAGAGAAATATATGAACACTCATTTGGTGGCAGCAATTTGTCATACTTAAAACTTGCAAACAATCAACATGCCCATCAAACGAGGAAGGGATAAAGAAGTGGTGGGTTTTTTATGCAATGGAGTACTACTCAGTCATAAAGATGGATGAACTTGAGGCACTTCTATGTAAAGGGGTGAACTTTAGGAATATAGTCTTAAATAAAATGAAGCAGAAACGAAGGTTTACATATCATATAGTATGTTTAATGGGAGAAACTGAAACTCTGAATGAGGACCAGGGCTGCAGAGGTAGCTCAGCAGTTTGAGAGCTCACCTAAAATGAGGTATAAAAAGTAGAGCCATGTTCATATGCTGAGCTGTAAAAGGCTCAAGTCAACAACTTCTGACATTGCCAGTGCTATGGATAACCCACTACTATTATGGACTACTGGACTATATTGGAATATTTTGCTGAATTCAGTATTTAAATACTGAATTTTTAAATGGCAATAGAATACCCATCTCTGACAAAAGTAAATGAAAAATGGGATACTAATGAGGGACTGTAGGGAGCTGGGGCGGTGGCTCAGCAGAATAAGTGCTTGCCTGGCAAGTGCAAGGGCCTGAGTTCAATCCCTGGTTCTGCCAAAAGAAAAACAAAACAAAACAGCAGCAGCAGCAGCAGCAACAACAACAACAACAACAACAACAACAGAAACTAAAACAAAAACAAAAAAAACAGAAAAAAAATGAGGGACCATTTTGTATCTGTACATGGAAAAGAGGATATACAGCTACTTTCTCTTAATTCAATGAGAAGAAAGATTTGTACTAATAGTGTTTGGACAGCATATCACATCTATATCTTTTGCTATTAATAATCACTAATAAAACAACAATATGGAATGTATTACTTATTTCTTTTTTGTATTAATTATTGAAACTGTCCTACTAATAGGTTTTGAAAATGGTTCATTGCTATTTGTTTTTCAATAAAATTATTAAAAAAAAATAAGAGCTTGCCTAGGCAAGTGCAAGGAGCCAGGCCTGATCCTCGGTGCCACAAATCCTACTGGCCACACCCTGTGCATGCCAAGCTGGCCATGAAGACTGGGCATGGTGGTACATGCCTGTAATTTGAGCATTGGGGAGGTTGAAACAAGAGGAACACTATGAGTCTGAGCTGCTTAGTGAGACCCTATACCAAAATTTTTAAATAAAATTAAAAAAGGACCAAAATATATAGTGCAGAATAGAAAATAGGAAGAAATGTTCAAATGGGAAAGGGGACAAGGGGTAAGGGCAAGGTGAAGGAATAAAGAGAAAAGTAAAAAAGAAGAGAAGGAAGAGATTGGAAACAAAGCTTTTGTAAATAAGGAAGTGATGGCCGTAAGTTCAAGTCTCAGTGCTAGAAAAGAAGGGAGAAGCTGGAAACATAGTTGACTAAGAGAAACCAGAAACTTCCTGAATAGGATGAGGAAGCTGGCAAGGGGGCCCTTGCCCAGTGTGCTCCGGCCCTGCCCTGCATGCCCTGCCTGCTGCACTCACATACAGGACAGAGAGGTGACATGGTGGGAAGGAACAAACAGAAAGGCCTCTGTGCAGGGATGGCAGGAGAGTCTATGTTGAAAACCAAGAAATTTGACCAAGAAACTGATTTTTCAATCTAGTGGAATAGGCCTGCTGTAAGTGCAGCCCTCTAGGAATCTGAGTACAACATCTTAAATTCAAAACAAGACGGGGTAGCAATGTAGGAAGACACTATTAAAAATCAGTGTTGGGAGTCTACACCATTCTATTCCAGAAGAAACCTCGTATGGATCATCAGCTCATGGTTAAGGGGTTACAGGTCCCAGAACGGCTGTCAGGGTATCATTTTGTGTTTGTTTTCACCACACTAGAATCTAATTTTTGAACACTTTTGCTGTGATTTGGCAAAAATTTTTGCTCCAGGTTGGCAGCTGAAAGGATGGGATCTAATTCCTACGCACCAGTGAATGTAATTACAATGAAGGAAAACGTCATCAGAAAGTAGAGCAGGGCACAAAGGGTGTATAGGGAGTCCCAAACCTGGTCTGGGCGTCACAGCCGCACCTATGGAGCTGGGAAGAGAGGAGGGGCCCAGGCGGAACTTGCAGATAAGGAGGAAAGCACTGGGGTTCCTTGGTGGGAATCACTGTGTGAGACCTGCCGAGTCCTGATGCGCAGACCACAATGGCCTCCTGCACAGTTGCTGAATTGTAGTCCATCTCTGCACCAGGCTGTCTTCCAGATCCTTCTGAGGTGATCAGGTTTGCATACAGGCCTCCACCACTCTGAGAAGTGACTTCCATCTGCCATTTTTACATCATGGCAGCATCTTGAGTCGTGCTTTGGCTGTGTTGATCCTTAAATAGCAGGATTCCAAGGACGATGAGGACTACGCCAGCCAGTCCCATCCGGACAAGATTTCCCACAGTGTAGTCCTGCACATGCGTGGCTGGGGTGGGGACAGAGGGGTCACAGAGGTCAGGACATATGGCACTGATTCCAAGGGCCCTTCTGTCCACCCAGCCACCTGCCTGCCCATGGCAAGACTGGGCCCACTGTGTCCATCACGATAATGGAGAATTCTCCTCCCCACCCTGGGCTCTGGGTGGTTCTATGATGGGCTGATGGCCTCAGTGGCTGCTCAGCACAAAGTATGTGGAGCAGAAGGTACTGTGTTGAAGAGACCTGAGCCGTGTCTGAGATCCAAAGTCCCGTCTCCATCTCCGGAGGTATCTCTGTGCAGTGCTGACCGAGCCCTCTCCCTGCTGTACCCTCAGTTCTCTTGTGGGATTCACCTGGCTTCCCATAATCCATGAATACAGACCTTGTGTCTGAGTCACTTTGAAGCAAGTAGTGCCTGAGCCCTGAGAGCTCATGAATGGGTGAGAGAGTAAGTGTTTCTGAGTTCAGAAACAACCAAGCCAGTGGATGTTCTCTGTTTTCTCAGGGCCTCCAAAGGACCAGAGCTGACTGCCCTGGAGAGGGGCTTCCCTGATTCCCCAGGGCAGGATGCAGGGTACCTGGAGAGGAACTCCTGAACGTCAGGAGGCTGCTCTCTGTCCACCAGCGCCCTCATCCTGCCTGAACCTCAGACACGTCCCCTCCTCTGAGCCAGGGCAATGGTCACCTGGTTCTCAGAGCCCAGGAAGATACTGGTCCTCCTAATGTCTGCTCCACACTCCTCTAGAGATTTACCCTGCCCTGAAAATTGCAAACAGCACTGCAGTGCACTGGACTCCTGTGTTTGAAGGGAAGTTGTCTCCAATACCCTTGCTGAAGGACCTGATGTGGAGGTGTTGGGACAGCAGGGGATCTGGCTTTGAGGCGGGGACATCAGGCGTGAGTTCTGAGCTACAGACCAGCCCAAGTTGTCGGCTTTCCACTGAGTCTCCTTCTGTGCCCCTCTTTCACTTAGCTCCATGGGAAACATCATGATGGCAGCGTGGGCAGGGAGTTCCTGTCAGCATCAGGCTTCTCATGGGTGGATGCTCCTCTGGGAAATTTTCGTCGCTAGCATCATGTCCAGGGGTCTCACTCACATGGGCGACAGGGCACAGGCTGATATTTTGGGACATAGAGTCCTGTTTGGGAGCTGGGCAGTACAACTTTAGGGAAAACAGGCCCCAGGTGACACACAAGGAAGGGGTTGTGTGGCAGATACTGAGGAGTCTGACTTCCAGCCTCCTTCTCGCAGGAGAGCTGGGTTTCCTGAGCTTCAGTGAAAGGATCTGAGAGCTGCTGCTGCCTGGCACCATCCCCACTGTGTGTCACTGCACAGAGGGACAGACCCCTGTAGTGTGGGGTCCTGGAGGCTTCCCTGGGAGGCAACCTCTGAAGGGTTAAGAGCAAGGACAGTACTAGAGACTATTCACAGTCAGGGCCAGGCCTCCCCTCTACACCTGGAGACAATGAGGTCTACACAGGAGTGGCCAGTCCAAGTTTGCATCTTATCTAGTCCCACAGATCAGCTCCTGCAGCAGACCCCTCCTAGTGCTCTCCAGCCAGGTGTCCAGAATCTAGTGTGAGGGTCTGATCCTCAGTGCCTCCTGGGAGGAATGGGGGAAGTGAGGGCTTCAATTTCCCACTCCCCACATTAGCTGCTGCTCCTCCCCAGGCTGGAAGCAATATCTCCCTCAGCTGTGACCCCACCCAATGCAGTCCAGAATTTGAGCCCTGGGGATCCAGGTTCCTTTCCCAATTCTCTATCCCTGAACACAAACAGAGCCCAGACTGGAGCCAGGAGTGAGATAGGCTGAGTGTCTCTAGGCAGCCAGTGCACAGGACACTCGGACAGAGCAGGGACTCTCTGTGGAGCTGTGCACTGAGGGTGTTGTGTTGGGCCCTAGAGCATACTGGGAATGGGCAAGGGGAAGGTGAGGTACTGGGCTGACCCTTGGGAACCTATATTTAGGCACTTTACTCCTACTGCTGTGTGGCTCCACAATAACCTTACTGCTGCCTGCCAGGAACCTCTGCCAGTCCACTATGGTGATGCTGCAGTTATATGAAAGAGGACCCAGATGGCACTCCACGGAGGGCTGATTTCCTACTCTGGCTGATACTTAATTTTAACCTCAGGCAGAACTGTCCTTGGAGCAGTGCCAAAGGGACCCTAATACCTGATAGATGGAGTCAAGGAGAGCTCACCTGAGACCTCAAGGTCCACAGTATCACTGGGCTGTGACAACAAGTACGGAGTTGAGTTCTGAGAGGCATAGCACCAGTAGGTGCCCCTGAGGTCCAAGCTTGCAGCTCCCAAGGAGAATTCTGCCTGCGACTGCTGAGCTCGGGGCTCTGATCTCAGATGCAGGGGGCAATCGGCTGCGCCTTCCTTGTACAGAAGGAAAGTGTCCATCGGGTTCTGTGACTGACACAACAGTTTCACATTCTCTCCTGAGGACACTGGTGGTCTTGGATGCACTGAGAGAGAGGGTGTGGCAGTGAGCTGTCCTGGAGAGAAGGAGGGTGGTGAGGGGTGGCCCCAGTTTGTCCTTAGCTGAGGCCTCAGCAAGGCTGTTTCTGTGAATCTTCATTCTCTGCTTTTTCTGAATCTGCCCCTCCTGGCCTCCCATCCCACTGTCTCCCTCCCTTCCTGACACCACAACCTGCTATCACCTCTTGAGCACTCCAGCAGGTCCAGTGCAGGATCTGGATCCCTGACTGGGCTCCTCACCTGGGATCAGGATGTCCAGGGGCTCACTGGGTGCTGACCACTCTGAGGAGTGATTGCGTCTACCGTAGCATCTGTAGCGGCCCCCATGGGAGCGTTTCCCAGGGCCCAGGAAGAAGTCAGCTTGAAAGAGCCCAGCCTGAGGCTGCCTGGAAGGGTGCTGGGGAAGGTCACCTGCCCCCTCCTTGGACAGAGCAAATGTGTCATAGCCGAGGTCAGAGCGACACTGCAGGGTCAGATTGTGTCCAGGGGCCAGGATAGGGCTCTGCTGGGTCAGGAGGGAGGGCTTCCTGGACTGCCCTGGAGGGAGGAAGAGCCAGCTGAGGGGCTGGTGCCTGCATGCCCCTGCCCTGTGTCCTGCCCTGAGGGTATCACACTCGGGGTCTCAGGTTCAGGAGATTCTCTCACCCACTGCCAGTTTGGGGGCCATCAAGTTTGGGCTCTCAATGTGTTTGGTGACTGGAAATGTCCTGCATTAGCCTGCAATATCTCACCTGAGATTAGGAGCTGCAGGGCATCGCTGGGCTCTGACCACACCTGCATGTTTTTCTTGTCATAACCGTAGCATTTCAATGTCCAGTTGTGCTTGGGAATGACGGGGCCCACAGTGAACAGAGCCTGGAAATTCCCCCTGTTGTGTTGTGAGTCCAGCGTCCAGGAGCGCTTGTCTCCTCCTTCCTCAGTCAGAATGAACCTGTGAAATCCTCTCTGTGATGCACACTGGAGGGTGATGTTCTCTCCTAAATTGACCACAGGGCTGGGCAGGGCTGAGAGGCTGGGCTTGCTGTAGACTCCTAGGAGAGAGGGAGGCAGCGTGTGAAGAGGACTCATATGTCCCCATGGCTGCACTGAAAGAGGGACACCCTTGAAACCAGAATCATATCTGAGGACAGAGCATGTGGCTGGGGCGCTGAGAGTCCTCTCACCTGTCACCACCAGCTCCAGGGGCTCACTGGGCTGTGACCAGCCAGCAGGGGTGCGGTAGTAACAGCGATATCGCCCTGCATCATTTGCTCTCATGGATGGGATGGAGAACTTGGTCCTGCTCATGGGTGCAGCTGAGGTCTGTCTGTCCCAGTTCACTGGCCACCCCTCTTTATCCAGATAGTACTCCTGGGTGTCCAGAGTCCCCTCACATAAGAGGGCCACGGGCTTCGACGGGGGGATCACACTGGATGGTTCAGCCCAGAAGGAGGCCTTGGGGAGGGTCCCTGTGAGGAATTAAGAGAGGAAGTGTCAGGGCTGCTCTGCACTGCACACTGCGTGTCCAAGCAGATCTCATTCATTCTGACCCACATGGAGCAGAGGGAACCTGAGGAGTCACTTGAAGGTTCTTCTCCTTCCCCGCCATCTAACATTCCTACTCCCTGTCTCACTTGTTCCCTTTATCTTGTATATCACTGCCACCCTCTCCCTTTGTCTCTGAGCCCAGGATTCCTGGCTCTTCTCATCTCCACTGCCTTGGGTCTTGGTCAGGCCCTCAATCATGAAAGGAAAGGCTGTGCCCTTCTCACCTGGGACCACGAGCTCCAGGGTGTCACTGGGCTCTGACCACACCTGGGGTTGGATCCGATAACAGCCATAGCATCTGAAGGTCCACCTGTGGCTGGGGGTCACAGGTCCCACACGGAACATGGCCTGGACCTGGCCCCTCAGACCTCCTCGCTGTGAGTTTTGTGTCCAGGAGTTTTTGGCTCCTCTTTCCTCAGTCAGAATGAACCTGTCATATTTCTGCAGTGAGCCACACTGGAGTGTGGCAGTTTTTCCTGACATTACCACAGGGCTGGGCAGGGCTGAGAGTCTGGGTTTGTTGTGGACCCCTAGAGGGAAAGAGGCAGTGTGAGAAATGGACTCTCAAATCCTACAGAAACACCACAGCTGTGCTGAGAGAGGGGATGCCCTTGAGAGTAGACCCCAATCCAAGGATTGAGCCTTGGGCTGGGACCCTGAGTGTCCTCTCATCTGTCATCACTTGTTCCAGATGGGCTGTGACTAAGCTATGGGGGTGTGACCGTAGCAGTGATATTGTCCTATATCATCTGCTTCCATGGACGGATGGAGAAGTTTGCATAGTTCTTAGATTCAGCTGCGGTCTGTCTTTGAAAGTTATCTAGCTGCTCCTCTTTATCCAGATAGTACTCCTGGGCCTCGGGGCCCCCCTCACACCAGACGGCCATGGGTTTCCCCCAGGGGATCACAGGGGATGGCTCAGCCCAGGAGGCCTTGGGGAGAGTCCCTGCTGGAGTTAGAAAGGGAAGTGTCAGGGCTGTTCTGCTCTGTGCACAGTGCGGGTTCAACCGTCATACATTCTGATCCACAAGGAGCAGAGCAAACCCGAGGAACCACATAAAGTTTGCTGTCTTTCCCTGCCATCTTATGTCCTCTCTCTCTGTCTCACTGGATCCCTTTGTCTTGGGTATCACTGCCACCCTCTCCCTCTGTCACGTAGCCCAGGATCCCAGGTTCCTCTTATCCCCACACAATGGGGTTGGGTCAGGCCCTCAGTCATGAGAGGAAAGGCTGTGTCTACCTCACCTGGAACCAGGAGCTCCAGGGTGTCACTAGTCTCTCGCCACACCTGGGGTTGATTCCTGACACAACCATAGCATGTGAATATCGTTCTGTGACTGATGGTCATAGGACCCACATGGAATATGGCATGGACGTGACCACTGGGGCCTATCTGTGAGTCCAGAGTCCAGGAGTGCTTGGCTACAACTTCTTCAGTCAGAATGAGCCTGTTGTATCCCAGTGTTGAGCTACACTGGAGGGTGACATTCCCTCCTGAGGTCACCACAGAGCTAGGCCAGGCTGAAAGGCTGGGTTTGTTGTAGACCCCCAGGAGAGACAGAGGCAGCATGTCAAGTGGAGTCACACTCCCACACTCGCCCCAGGGCTGGACTGTGAGATGGGGACATGCCTGAGCAAGAACCCCTTCTTAAGGGCAGAGGGTAGGCCTGGTACAGCAAGTGTCCTCTCACCTGTTACCACCAGCTCCAAGGGCTCACTGGGCTCTGACCTCCCAGCAGAGCTGTTATAGTAACAGTGATATCGTCCTGCATCGTGCTCTGTCATGGATGGGATGGAGAACTTGGTAGTGTTCATGGGCATTTCGAACGTCTGTGTCCTCCAGGGCACCGAGATTCCCTCTTTAAGCAGATGGCACTGCTGGGCCCCCAGAGTCCATGCACACCAGAGGTCCACAGTTGCTCCCAGTGATATCACAGGTCCTGGCTCAGCCCAGAGCCGGGGTTTGGGGAGGGTCCCTGCAGGGAAATCACAGCAGAGTCCCAGGAACTCTTCTTCCCTCAGTTTCCAGCTCTCAGCCCCGGGACACTCTGGAACCCCAGCACCCACCAACACCTGCTGTGCTCCATCCCTACTGCCAGGCTTGTTTCTTTGTCCCCAGGAAGAGAGATCTGGGACAGTGGGTGGACATACTTACCTGACTGCACTTGGATGCTGGGTCCCACACTCATCCCTGGAAGAGAGTTCCCTGTGAGAAGTTCACCCAGAAACCCGATCAGGTCCTCTCCTCCCCAGAGCCTCCTGAGCCCCTGGTCTCCTGATGGTCTGGGGTCTTCCTGTGGGGTGAAGTCCTTCCCAGACCAGGGTGTCCCCTCCTGTCTTCCCCTCTCACCCAGGCAGAGCAGGGCTGTCAGGGAGGGCATCATGTCTTCTCCAGCCGCTGATCACGGCTTCCTTAGAGATGTTACTGCACCGCTCTGCAGACCCCACTGAGGTGTGTGTAAACTTCAGGACTGGGTTCTGCCCACCATGAGTTGACACAGCACCGCCCCACATGAACGGGAACTGCCCTCCCCATCAGCCAGTGTGCTGTGTTGCCAGGGCTGCATCTGGGGCACGCGGATATTTGATGTTGGACTTTTCCCTCCTTTTGAATCTTCCTGCTTGTTATTTATCTCTGAGGGCAGGACACAGCAGCAAATAGACTTGCTGTCTTCCTGAGCTACCCTCTTCTTGGGGACAGAGCTCAGTGTTGGTCCTTCCTCTCGGAGCCTCCCCACAGGCCTCTTCTCTCCCTAGCCCATCCATCTGCACAGCTCGGTCATCCTCACAATGGCCATCCTCCCCCAACCCCTGGAGATGCTCTAGGGAGGATGCAGGTTCCTGCTGCAGGTGGATGACAGCAGACAAGTGCTGAGCCCTGCCTGTGCAGCTCAGTGGAACAGCGTCCTAGGAATCAGCATGGAGGAGAGGGGCAGGGCAGCAGGGCAGCAGAGCTGACTCACTTCCTGCCTCAGTGTGGGCTTCCTGTACTAAACCTTCCCCTTCATGGCTTCCTTTTTTTCCTTCGCATTTGAGTCCACCAGCTCTTCCATGGCAGGAAATTTCAAAATGATTCTTGCTTGTGCAGGGCTGCTGTATAGGATGCCCCTGAGTTTGGTGCTGGCTAACTTCAGTCTAATGCCTGGTGGTCATTCTCAGTGATGTCCTGAAATTAGCATCTCTCTCTCTGAGCCTCAGCTTCCTCATATTCAGTCTGGCATTTCATCCCACTGCTAGAGATATTAGGGGGTCAGTGGTGCCTGAATACAGGGAGGCTCAGCCATGGTTAATTTTCAGAGCAGGGAAAACCTGAGTTTGGGCTATGTGAGGCCCTGGGTGTGGGACCATGTACCTGTCAGTACAAGGTCCCCGTGTGCTCTCAGCACTTAGAAATCGTCTGTGTAGTAGTCTACCGCTTCCAGATTACCATAGTCATGAAAGTAAACGTCACATGAACATTCTTGAGTGAAGGATTCAAAGAACAAAGCTGAGGGCTCCTGGAATGTCTAATCAGCAAGGGCTCAATAAGGAGCTGGTTTCCTTCTCTCTTGAGGGTGGGATTGCTGTGGGCCATTATTTAGGCAAACCCAGTAAGCGCAGGGTATGGCCTGTCAATCACAGCCAGGCACTGCAGAGACAGGGTTCTGAGCAGGCACCATGAACCAACCAGAGTCCTGTCTTCAGTCTTCTGAGAACTCAAGGAAGTTTCAGATAGGATGACCTAGACCTGACATCAGCCAGACGAGTGGCAGGTACAAAATATGGCTGCCAAATATGTCTGCCACTGTGGTCGGGCTCACCCTGGTCTCTCACGTTTGTCCGATCCCACCGATAGAATGTTGAGTTTGCCACCTGTCCAATTCTTATTTGGCTTCATGTTTCTTTCCTTTATTATTATATTTTAATCATTCATTTATTTATTTGATAGAGGGTCTCACATGAAGTTGCAGGGATCCTCCTGCCTCAGCCTCCCCAGAGCTCGGATTACAGGCACGCGCCACCACACCAGTTCTGGGGCTGGCATGGCATGTGGTACTGGGGATAGAACCCTGGTTCTTTCTCTTGCCAGGTAGGCGCTTTTCCTCCTCTGCTCTTGCTCCTGCTTCCCCTCTTCCTCTTCCTTCTCCTCTTTCTCTTCCTCCTCTTCCTCCTGCTTATTCTTCTACTACTCCCCCCCCCACCCCGTGAGTCTGGTAGGCTTTTCTGTCAAGTTACTGTGAGGTTTACATGTGACATTTTACTTTATCACAGTCTATTCTGTGCTCTTAACTCCAAACACACACACACACACACACACACACACACACACACACACACACACACGGTATTCCTTCCTGTACGTTATATTACTGGTGTCATATATAAACAGTTTACGTGTTTTATGTTGTGTATCTCCACATTTTTGTGGTTGTAGTTATTAATCTACTATGTGATCTAATTTAAGGAAAGCACCACAAGCTGCAGAAAAAATGTATACTCTGCTCTAATAGTGTGGAATACTCCAGATATCTATTAAATCCCTATATTTAAGAGTGAGGCTCAGCTCTGATATGTCTGGAATGCGTTTTTGTTTAGTTGATCAATGGCTACAGAAAAATGTGTTGTTAATATCCATGACTATAACTGTATCAGTAATTCCTTGAGCTTTTCCCCTTTTTCTTATTCTTCCTTTTTTTCCTTTTTTGACACAGGGTTGTGCTATATCATTTGGCCAGACCTTAAACTCATAATGCAGCCTAGGGGTGCCTTAAACATGCATCTGGTCTCCTGCCCCAGCCTCCTAGCTGCTGGGATTAAAGGAATGCAGCACTGAAACTTTACTTCACCTTTTATGTTCAGCAGGGTTTGCTTTATGAAGACAGCTATCCTAGTGCACGGTGCAGAAATACCTGTGCATGTTCTATGTTCTTATTGGTCTTTTCCCTACGCTAGTATGTAGTGACCCTTTTCTCTACTGACATTTACATTGAAGCTTACACCTTTAGCTTGAACTTTGCATTGCCAGAAATTCAAATCATCACTCCTGCTTGCTTTTGGTGTTTTGGTATATAAAATATATTTTTTCTTTGATATTTTATCAGGACTACTCTTTTTCTTTTCTTTTTTTTCATAATTTTATTGATAAACAGATAGCAATGAGACAGTTTCAAATCAAATCGGTAGGACAGTTTCAATAACTAACACACTGCATACATTCTTCTTAGTGGTTAATTGCTGTACAAGATGCGGACTTGAGATCCTATTCACAAACACCATTAGAACAAATCATTCTATTCATGAAGAGAATGTGACTATATATCTGTCCTAACCATTTTGAATACACAGATACAAAATGGACATTCATCTCTATACCCCTTTTTTTCTCAGCTCCGTTATTTGAGTATTATAGGTGTGTAAACTCAGCAAAATATTCTAAAACAGTCCAGTAGCCCATAATAGCATTGGGTCTTCTGTTTAACTGGCAATGTCAGAAATTGTTGACCTGAGTCCCCCACAGCTCAACTTAACAGCATGGCTTTATTTCCTATATTTCGTCTTCATACTTTTCTACTGGATAGTTAAGACCAAGGTAAAACAGGACCCATGCAACAAGAGTTGTAGCTTTTTGGACTGAGAAGGTCAGTGAAATGCCCTCAGAATTTATCCTGAGATCCTGTACCTCAGAGCGTAGAACCTTTGTCAGTGTCAGCCATGTGGATGAGTCACGGACATTGCTTGGCCAATGTTCTCTCTGTGAAAGCCTGAGTGTTTTCTCTCCATGTGACTCTCCTTAGGCACACTCTACATCATGGATCACTTTCCTATTTGGCCCCATAATCTTCTAGATCAGAAAATTTGGGACTCTACCGAGGTACATGACGGTACAGCACAAGATCTCATATGTCCTGAGTCTTAATTAACCTTAGAAGATTAGGGCCAAAATGTTGGCTTTCCTTGAAGCCCTACTTTTTCTCTAATTTTGGTCTGCAAACTCAGGTTGTTAACCATCCAGAAGACAAGCTTATTGTTATCATCAAAGGACTTAGGCTATTAAACTTAACCTCACTATCTGTCTGCATATCAAACATCTTAGGCATAATAAGGCGCAGGTATTTTTCATCAAGTATTGATATGTTGAACTTTAAGTCCCT